GATTCGCAGGTAATAACCTGACTCCTGCAGCTGGGGATTTATGGGGGGAGGGGAAACAAACCCAAAGTCTCACAAGATTGGCAATACAATGGCGAGAATTGTAAATTTATTTGGAATCATTTCTGGGTGAAGTGTGAGCAAAAGAGAAGATAATGAGTAACTCTACTAATTATTTAGCTACATTAATACTATAGTAACCACTTAGAAGCTATATTAATTAGGTCTCACCCTGCTGGTAGGTCGAGTCTTTTACACTGCAAGCTCTCCAGGGCAGAGACTTGCTGTTTTTGCCATGTTTTGTACAGCACCTGACACAATGGGGCACAAACTAGACATCTCCACGTGCTACCACATTCTGTTCAATAATAATTATTTACTATTCCTGGGGACACTTGGCCTCTTTTGAGGCCTAAAATCTAAGGTTTGATATTTGTACAAACAGGATTTAAAAAAAAAAATACAGCAAGAAATGGTTTTGAGTATTACTGTTTTAAAAAGACACTTCACCTAGATCTGGATTTGTAGATCATATTTTCCAGTCCAAAAGGGTTAAAATCTAGCAGCCTGAAAGACCCTCCAGCCCTCACCTGTCATGACGCTTCACTCCCATTCCTGCTGTCTCATGTAACGTACAAAACCTGTAGCCTCCCAAGACTTTGGCCTCCCGACCTCACGACAGCAGCAAGGACAGAACCCCGGCCCCCTGCCCAGAAAGCCCAGCACCGCTGGAGAATCTCCACGAGCAGCGAGGCTATGACACATGAGTGAGCGGTTCTGACGCCGCCCAGCAGAGGGCAGCCATGCACAGGCACGCTGGGCCAGAGCGTTTTCCATGGGCAGGGCCCAGTCCCTGATAACATCGCAGGAATTCAAAGTCCTCCCCAGTTAGCTACAGATTCAAAGCTGGGAGACGAGGCCAGCGGGGCCTTGCTCCTCACAACGTGTCTGGTCTCTTGAAGGCCCCCCAAGAGCTGTTCTTTCTACCTTGGTTCAGTGCCCCCCACCCCAATAGGACCCAGCCTGTGGTAGATCAGCCAATGCCCAGGTGATCCTAATTATTAGGTGTATTATGGTAGCACCCAGTCACACATCAGGAACCCATTGTGCTAGAGGCTGTTTTACTCTGTATTGTATTGTATAACTATTAGATGTATTATGGTAGTATCTAGGTGCCCCACTCCTGGACCAGGACCTCATTGCGCTAGGCACTGTACATTTTTATTGCTATTAGCTGTATTGCGGTAGTGCCTAAGAGCCCAGCCACAGCCCCGGCCCTCACTGTGTCTGTGCAGCGCTTGGCACAGGACAGACAGTCCCTGCTCCAAAATGCGGACAACTGATCGGGGGGGCGGGGAAGGGGGGGGACAGTACGTGCGCATGGTTCATGCCTTGTCCCTGGTAAGCTATGGGGAATCTCCTCCAAGCACCGAAATGCAGCCCCCTCTGGGGTGGAGCGTGGCAGCCCCCTAAGAGACAAAAGCAGCTGCTGCCTGGCGAATCCCCTCTTCACATCCCCTAGGGGCCTTCCCAAGGTTGCAGGGGGTGGATCCCAGCCCCCCTGTGATACCACACCCCAGTGCAAGCCTGGGGGAGCAGCCTGTCTCCCTCCCTCACTCCTCTGTCTCTGGAGGCAGGGAATGGATTTCCAGCTAGGGAGGCAGGTCTGGGGGGCAGAAGGTGTCTTGCGAGAGCAGGGGTGTGTGTGATTCTGATGCCCCATTCTGCTCCCCTTGTAGACCCACCAGAAGAGAAGACTTGGGGGGAGCGGTATTGACAGGGGAAGTGGGAACAATCACACACACCCCAGTTACAAGGCTAGCTGGATCGCTCTAGGGCATCTCCAAAGAGCTAGGATGGTCAAACCCAGCCTTTTTCTCCTCCTCCTGGGCTGGCCAGCCAAGGGTTAATCCCTGAGTCACGCTTTCCCTTCTCCCAGCTGCTGCCAAAACTGTTACTGATCTGCAGGAAGCAGGCACATAACAGCAGGCAATAAACCCGAAGGGAGGGAGCTCTTCTCTGGGCCAGCTCATGCATCAGGGACCGGCCCTCTATTCAAGGCTAGATCAAGATCAGGGCAAGGCCTAGTAACCGGCACGCTCATATTTCTACGGGCCCTTGAGGATCCACAAAGCACCAAGCAAAATTTAAAAACTGGCACTGAAATGCAGCCACCTTTGGGGTGGAGCACGGTGGATCTCTATACAGGGCTCCCACACCCAGCACTGAAATGCAGCCACCTCTGGGGTGGGGTGCAGCAGCTGGCTACACAAGGATCCCTTACCCAGCACTGAAATGCAGCCACCTCTGGGGTGAGGCGCAGCAGCTCTTTAACAGCCACACAAACTCTCTATGGTTCAGAACGGAGGAAGTGAAGCATGAGCCAAACTGAAACTACAGGCAGGAATTTAAGGAAGTGGAAGACAATTACCCAGACTGGAATTTAGCCAGGAGACCTGAGCTCAGAGCCCTTCCCTTGTGAAAAGCAGCCGTGGGAGCTTTAATAACCACAAGCAATCATGGCCTTGCTTTTGCATTTCCTACAGCAGACAGCGCCTCCACAGCACCCTAACCCCTAGCACCAGGCTGGGGCTGATCCCTGCCTGGGGCCTCCAGGCGATGCCCCTATACTGCATCCGAGGGAGAGTGCCCCCTACAGATAGTAACACAACTCTTCAGTGGCACTGCGCATCCATGGATCTCAAAGCCCAGTAGAGTACAAGGAGAGCAGAGAGAGAGAGGACATGACTTGCCCAAGGCCTTACAGTCTCCTGTGCTGAATGCAAGGCCACATTAAACCCCAGAGCTGGGGGACAGAACCCAGGAGTCCTGACATCTAGCCCCTCCCCGCTGCTCTAACCACTAGCCTCCACTTCCCTCCCACAGCTGGGGATAGAACCCAGGAGTCCAGGCTCCCAATCCTGTGCCCTTCCCACCTGACCTCAAAGCCTCTTCCTGCACATCTCTCAGGTCTCTCATCCAAGAGCCGCCCCTGTTTACTCTTAAACTGGCTTCTCCACATGCCCCCTATAGTTAGCACCCTCCCCTCCTTGCATGGCTCACATCCACAGTGCCCTTCCTGTCCCTGTCCCCCCCCCCCTCCCAATGAGTGCACTACACTCCCAGGGGGACATCTCCCGAAACCCCACAAAAGGGCTCTCTGACACTGGGGCATCTGTTCCCACCCCACCCCCGCCCCCGCCAGCCACTGGATCAGTTCTGACTAATGGCATCCCAGCCAGCCACTAAGTAGCTCCTTGCCCAGGCTCTGGGACAGGGTATAACTGGGGTCCAGTTAAGAGATCCAGCAGAGGGAGATGGGGCCCTTTCCCCAGACAGCGGGGGGGAGCGGGAGACTCATCCCCAGCCACTGGGGTCTCCCCTGCTTCCCAGCCCTGATGGCTCCCGTGCAGGGACTGCAGATTCAACTGGAAAGGTAACCCCAACAGCACGGAGTTTGGACCAGGGGCGGGGAGGGCATGAAATAGGTTCATGATGCATCCCTCTGCTCCCCTTCCCTTTAGGCCTCCACAGCCTGTGCCCCAAGATCCCAGGCGAAGGGGAGAAGGACACCAGCACGGGGGGGGACGGGGGGGACAGACGGATGGACGACATGTGTGGATATGTGAGGGGAGGTCAGTCCTGGAGCTCGTTACTGGGAATCAAGCAATCAAGGGTGTCCCTGAAACATGAACTGCAGAATCTTCATCACCCAGACCCAAACTCCCAGCACGGATACCCAGCCCTGAACTCCCAGACCTCCAAGCACCCAGACCAGACCCTGGCCCCACAGCTCCTTCCCTGTCACCCCCAGAACGCGGATGGAGGGGTCCCCTCAGGTCTGCCTCGTCCTACGGGCCTCCGTGAACCCAGCTGGGCCTCTGGGAGCTGGAAAACCTCATCCCTTTCCTGTCAGGCAAGGAGTCACGGGCAGAGTTTCCACTTGTTGGCTGAAGCCCTGCTGTTTTGGGGAGCGGGGGCCGGAGGACCCCCTTACCTGGGGGAGGACGAGGCGCGCCAAACTCAGAGTTTAAACCTCAAAAGTTGCCATTTCCAACCAAATGAAACCCCCCACCCCAATGGGGGGAGTCAGGCAGAGATGGGACCCAGCCCCAACCCAGAGTCTGGCCCCACTACCCGGCTTCATTACCCTATCTACCCCCACACAGCTTCCCACCTCCCCTCTGCGCACCACTTCCTTCCCCATCGATCCCTGTCCCAGGCCTGCCTGTTCCTCCACCATGCACAGTACAGCATCAAAACACCACAACTGCAGTTAACCCTTCCCAGCCCACGCAGCTGATACAGGCAGGCTCCCAGACACACACCCATGTGGAGGCACGCAATTCCAGGCACACACATTAAGTCTTGATACAGAGGCACAGTCATGCAAACACTCTTGCCACATGCACCACAATCATACCCACAACGCGCAATCGCACAGAGTCATACACACACACCACGATCATACACACAACATGCAATCAGTCACACACTCACAATACAGATACGCAATCATACAACACACAATCGCAGTCACACACAGACCCCGCAATCATACCCACAACTTGCAATCGCAGTCACACACCACAATCATACCCACAACACACAATCGCAGTCACACACCACAATCATACCCACACCACACAATCGCAGTCACACACCACAATCATACCCACACCACACAATCGCAGTCACACACAGACCCCGCAATCATACACACACCACACAATCGCAGTCACACACCACAATCATACACACACCACACAATCACATACACACAATATGCAATCACACATGGCCTCTCTCTCTCACACACACACACCAATTTAGAATCACAAACACACACACACACAGGACGATCTAGACACAATTAAACAAAGAGAGCGACAGAGCCTCTCCCGCCTCTTGGGCCCGGAGTTATCTGGTCCCTCTGGCAGCGCCTGCCCCCCAGACCGCCCCACACCCGCCCCGTCGCGCTCCCTTCCCCCCCCCCCCTTTACCTTCTGATCCACTATGGAGCACGCCAGCTGCTTGACATGAGCTAGGTCCGAGGCCGCGGGGAGCAGGACAAACTCCCGGGTCAGCCCGATCTGGAGATGGAAGGAGACCCCTTGGCAAGCGGCGCAGGACCCAGGCGCCAGCGGCGCGGGCTCCGGGGCTACCAGGCAGCCTCCCGAGGTCCCGGGGGAAGAGGGGAGAGCCGGGGGGCCGGCGCAGGCGGGTGGGGAGGCCATGGAGCCCCCCGGAGAGACGCACAGACTCCCCCGCCCCTGCACCCCGAGCCCAGGCGTCCGGGTCTGGCTGTCACATCCGAAGGGGGCAGCGCATCCCCGAGGGGCGCGGCGCACGGGCGCTGGCACGGCTGGGGGCGCACGGCCGGGGCGCACGGGCGCTGGCACGGCCGGGGGCGCACGGGGACCCGGCCGGCGCCTCTCGCTCTTCTCCGCCGCTTCTTTCTTTTTCTTGCCCCCAAACTTTACGGGCGGCCGGGACTGAGGAGGAAGTGCCGTGAGTGACGGGCCGCGGGGCCAATGGCGAGCTCCGGGGATGAAGTCAGACGACTCTTCCCCCCCCCCTCCTCTCTCCACACCCCGCCCCGGGAGAGCGCGGCGGGGCGCCCCAGCCACCCCCTACTTCTCCTGCTGTCCCCCACTGGAGGCAGATGGGGGGCAGCCCGCCCCCCGCCCCGTCTGTCTCCATGGGTGCCTGGAGTCGCCCACTAAACAAGGCGCTGAGGGGAGGGGCAGCGGACAGTTCCCTCTCCTGTGTTCCCCCTTCTGCTGGGGGAACATCCCACCCCCCAACATCCCACCCCGTCAGTGCCCCGCTGCCCTAGAGAGAGCGCCCCCTGCTGGGACCCCCCTCTCCCCCGGCGCTGTCAGTGCCCCCCCACACACACGCTGGGGAGAGCGCCTCCTATTGGCACCAGGGCGCCTGATCCCTCTGCCCGTGGTTTGGGGTCCTGCCTGCACCCTTCTGCCTCTCCCCGGGCATCCCTAGAAGGACGGGGGAGATGGGCTGCAGCCAAGCGAGTCCAGGGAGGCTCCTGCAGCGGGTAGGGGCTGCGGAGGAGAAGGCTCTCAGGCCGTCACCTCAGTGGGGAGAGCGCGGGGGACAAGGCAGCGGCCAGTGCTAGGCGTGAGGATGAGAGAGACCAGAGACCAGATTCTCTGATCTGCTCCAGCCCGTGTGTGATATCAGCGTGCTGGCAGAGTTGACCCGTTGGGTGCACCTGTGTGTTTGCCCATGGAGGAGTGCCGGGCATGGTTGCAGAGGTGTTTGCTCATGTCTGTGTGCAGTGTGTGTTTGTCCATGTGTTGGCACACGCATGCGCAGGGGCACGATTGCACAAACATGTAGAGGCATGGGGTTGCACATCTGTACATGGCCCTTGTCAACACATCCAGGACCCTGGAAGAAGCTCTAATGTGACCATCCTTCCCCATCGGGGACCCCCGTCTCTGGGTCCCCATACCCCCTCCCCGCTTTCCCCAGGAAGGTGGCAAGGGGAGGAAGGGAGGTGGACACATAATCCCTACTCCCCCTCCAGGGCTCAGAAGAGCCACTCACTGCTGCTCTCGTCTCTGCATGGCCTGCCTTAGACAAACATCCTGCCACCCAGTGCTGGAGGGGCTGGGAGCTCCCCCACCCACAGAGACCTGGGGGCTGGAGCCGTGACTGCCTAGGCCTGGGAGGGGACAGAGCAGAGGCGCCTGGAGATGTTCCTAGCGTGAGCCCTGCTGAGCGAGTGTTCGCATAAGGGGAAGGAAGTAGGGATTAGGCCAAAGGCCCATCTACCCCAGTATCCCATCTCCTTCAGTGCCCTGGAACCAGCTGTTGCAGAGGAAGGTGCCCCCTGGTGGGCAATGAAGAAATAAACTGCCCAGCAGGAAAGTTACCTCTTGACCCCATCACGGAGACTTTGGTTCAAGTCCTGCAACAGGAGGATTTTCATAGATCCCAAGGCCAGGGAACATCCCCACAATAATTCCTAGAGCAGATCTGTCTGAAAACCACCGGCTTCAAACATTGTCAGAGGTGGAGCATGCCGGCCGCTGGACACGAGCCAGGTCTGAGGCTGCGGGGAGCAGGACGAACTCTCGGGTCAGCCCTGATCTGGATGTGGACTGACACCTCTTTCAGGGGTCTTTACTCCGCTCTGGCCCCTGCTATGTGTCGGCTCTCCTTTGGAGCAAACAGGAGCAAACGGAACCAAACCCGCTATTCCAATCTAGGGCAGCCAAATATTTGCAGAATGAACAGCATTGACACAGGCTGGCACGGAGCTGCCCACAACCTGTCACTCCCCAGCTCTTCTGTAGTGCTTGCCAGCCAGCCAGGTGTCAGCGTCGTTCTCCCTATGGAGAAACTGAGGCACACAGCAGGGAAGTGACTCACCCAGCAGGGCAGAGCTGGGGACAGAACCCAGGTCTCCTGAGGCCCCGCTCACTGGGCCATGCCCCAGGAACCTGTCGTGCAAGGCGCTGTCCATTCTTACTACTTTTAGCTTTATTCAAGTATCGGGTAGGAGGGCCAGCCACGGCCCAGGACCCCATTGTGCCAGGCGCTGTACAGACACAGAACACAAAGCCGGTTCCTGCCCCAAAGTGCTGCCAATTTAAGTACAGAGGAGTCAGACCAGAAAGAACTTTTTTGTCCCTATCCGCTCCTGAGTACAGCACTGGGAAGGGGGGCGAGGAGTAGAACTCGCTCCTTAATTGTGCCCTGGGGATTATTAGATAATGACACTGGAAGCAGGAGGGAGGGAAGGGGCCCCAAGGAGAGGGCTCCCAGCCACTGCTAGGAGGAGGAATGGAGACTTGGCCATACAGAGCCAGAGCGGCAGGTGCCCCTGGGCAAGGGGAAGTTGAGCACAGAGTCATCTTCCTGCCCTGGCCCTGCACCATCCTCCCTGCCCTGGGGGGGAGGAAGGAGCCTGACAGGTTGGGCAGCATTCCGACCCAGCCACCCGGGGCGTGTCAACTACACCCAGGGCCATCCTGGCACCCCGCCGCTGCCCCAGCTCATGCCCCTGCGTGTGGGTGAGCAGGAGAGGGTAGATATGCACGTGCGGGTGCCCCGTCCTGCTGGCGTATCTGGCGGGGGTGGGCATGCAGTCAAGCATGTACAGATGTGCACGGGCTCCCGTGTGTTGGCGGACACGACGGTTTGTGGGGCACACGTGCAGGCCTGGGTGTGTGGAGATTGTGTGTGTGTTCTCAAACGGGCATGTTTCTGCAAAATGGTATGCACAGCGCATGTGCCTCTGGGTATGGGGCATGTGGGTGCAATGTGTGTTCATGCGTACGCAATGCATGTACAAAGCATTTTCATTTGCATGCAATGTGTGTGCAAGGCATGTTTGTGCATGTGCATGTGTGTGCAATGCGTGGTCTTGGAGCAGATGGCTTGCAGAGTTGCTGGGAGTTCTGCCAGGGGCTCTCGGAGCCTTACAGCCCCAGCCCCGCCCTGTTTACATGGGAAAGAGCAGACCCGGCCGCACCCTCTCAGGAGCCTCAAAGCGGATTGAGGGCAGGCTGGGCTTTCCTGCCCTGCATGCAGCCAGACCTAGGCCGGTTTGGGTGCGGGATGAGAGGGGCTTTGTTCTGGGCAGGTTCTGCAGGTGCTTCCCCCGGCAGCCCCACCCCCAGCCACCGCCAACGCAAACAGCGGCTGGAAGGGGCCCCAGGCACAAGGCAGCTGGCCGCCAACAGCCCTAGGAAGGAACTGGCCCATGCCAGCCAAAGGGCAGCTCTACCAGTGCCCCTCAATCCCGACCCACAGCCCCTGGCTTCCTCCTGCCCAGCTCTATTGCCGCCCCTCCAGCTCACAGCCCCTGCCCCCGAGCTCGATCGCTGCCCCTCTATCCCACAGCCCCTCTATCCTGCCTCCCTTGGGCTCTCCCCCAGCTCTATCGCTGCCCCTCCAGCCTGACCCGCAGCCCTCTGCTAGCCCAGCCCTGATCTCTTCCCCAGCTCTGCTGAGGCCTCTCAAGTCTTGCCTCACAGGCCCCCCTGCTGTGCCCTGATCCTTACTCAACTTGGGGAGCACTCCCCTATTTAGAAAAAGGAGCATCCCCATTCAATAAACATTAGGAGGAACATAACGGGAAGCGGGGCATCGTTGCTGGGGACTTAGGGGGCGGGAGTATTTCCATTAGTCCCAGCCTCTGCCCCCAGGTTGGCTGGTTCAAAACCAGTTCCTCCTCTTTTCTGAGGAACGTTTGCTTCTTGGAAATAAATGCAAGACGTGGGTGGGTGTACTTGTGTACGGTCCGGGAAGTTTCCTGGCAGCCGCGGCTGAAAGCAAAATTCAAACCTACTGAAAAACAATCCATCCCCATAAATAAACCTTACAGAGCGCCTCAGCCCAGCATGGGGGAGGGAAACTTTGGCCCAGAGCACCTGCAGCTCCCATTAGCTTTGGGGGGCTCAGCTCCTCCAGAAATCAGGGCCTGAGCTCTAGGCACAGCCAAGCCTTTAGGAAGCTAACATCTTCCCCACCCTCCCAGCCAATCCCAGGGGAAACAGTCTTGTGCATGGGGGTCAAGGCACAAGCACCAAGTCAGCTCCCCATTATTATTAGATGTATTACGGTAGCACCTCATGGACCAGGACCCCATTGAGCTAAGGGCTAGCGATTTTTTCACTGCTATTAGGTGTTTTACAGTAATGGCTAGGCACTCCAGCCATAACACCAGGCACCTTTTGTGCTAGGGGGCTGTACATTTTTATTGCTATTAGGTGTATTATGGTAGCACCTCGGAGCCCCAGTCCTGGACCAGGCCCCATTGTGCTAGGGGCTGTACAAACACAGAACAGAGACAGCCCCTGCTGCAGAGCCGACAACACCCCCTGAGAACCTCCTCCAAGACACACATGTCTAGGGGCCGTCAGCTCAAGGGGCCCAGCAGATTTCAGCCCCTAGGTGACTGACTGCGGGGGGGAGGGATAGCTCAGTGGTTTGAGCATTGGCCTGCTAAACCCGGGCTTGTGAGTTCAATCCTTGAGGGGGCCATTTAGGGATCTGGGGCAAAAATCTGGGGATTGGTCCTGCTTTAAGCAGGGGGGAGTGGACTAGCTGATCTCCTGAGATCCCTTCCAACCCTGATATTCTATTATTCTAATCCGAGACACCCAAGCAAGGCCAGATGAAGGCAGTTGAGGGCCCTTGGGACACTCCCTCCAGCCCCCTGGCCCCCGGCCCCACCCACCCACCTTCACAAGAGCTGTTCCCACTATTCTTTGGGAAGGCTGGGCCCCCCCACTGCTCCCTACCTTTGGGGGGGGGGGAGAGGCTGGGGTCTCAGCACTTACCTGCTCCTTTGGGAGCATGGGGGAGGACCCTGCTGGCACCAGCCAAGTGGAGTCACAATAGGGCAAAGAGATTCCCTCCCCCCACATACACACCCTCTTCTCCTTTCGAGAAACTATGTGCCCATGGCAATGTCTCTCCCAACAGCTGCCCCTACAGCCCCTTTCGCCCCCCCCGAGTCCCTTCCATAAGGGAGCTCTGCTCAGGGCCACAGAAGGAGTCAATCAGGCTCACCTCGCTCTCCTCTGCAATGCTGGACGCCTGGCAGGGGCCCAAGAGCAGCCACCTGTGGGCTCTCAGGATCCAGTCAGGTGAACACCCATTCATTACCATCCAGCTCCCACGCATCAGCCCACTCTGGTTTCAAACAAGCCCCGGTGCTGGGGCCCAGGCGCCGCTCCCAGCTGGGGGTGGGTGCACTGCACGGTCACGGTGACAGGCGAACACCGGCCAGTGGAAATAGATGCAGATGGAGTTACTCCCATTGCAATGGGCTCCTGGAAGCTGCTAATGGTGCGGTCTCGGGGGCAGGTTTGGAGAAGGGGGGGCTGATGTTATCCCCCCTCTCCCGCCCCTAGGGGGAGCTTCTCTGCCAGGCGAGTGGCATCCCACTGAGCTGATCCTGTGCCTGCGCTGGGGAGCGTCAGCTGGGCTCTCGCTTCGCCAACTCTGTAAACCCCTGCAAGCTGCTCTTGGGCCCGGAAGCCAAGTCTTGGGGGCCTCTCCGAGGCTGCAGGAAGGCAAATATTGTAACTCCAGGGAAGGGGGGGGCTTTCTGACAGGCCCCGCAGGAAGGGAAATGGGGCCCACGCAGCGGAGCGAGCGGTGCAGAGCGGGATCTGTCACATTCATTTTGTTTTAACATCGCAAATCTTGAACGTCCAGTATCTCCCCCCATCCCCACCCGCTCAGACCGTCAGGCCCAGCTAGACGGATGCCCCGTCTCTCACGCCCCAGGCCAGCTCCGATTAACAGCCCATCTGCCTGGGATCCCCTTTGCCCCGCTGCAGATTACAGCAAAGGGCTCCTCTAGTCCAGTCCCTCCCCATCCTCCCTGCGGCTCTGGAGCAGGCCCCTCTAGCCCCGTTTCCTGGCTCCAGGCAAAGCAAATCCCCGATACTTTCGCAAATGCCCCTTCCAGAGTTTGACCCCTTTGGAAGAAGGCACAGAATGCTTTCCCTGGGAAAGGCTCGTGTGTGTGTGAAACGGCCACATGAGCAGAGGCACACAGGAGACAAACCACATTCTACGCAGGTGGCCTGCAGAGCTGCCCCGCACCAGGGCCTGAGCAGGGTCAGGGCTTGGTTGGGAGTGGGCCAGGAAACCTCAGGAAGTGATGCATTGGGCACTAGGGGGTGCTGGAGGCAAAGTCAGACAGACCTAAACCTGAAACCTTGCGCTCATTGAAGTTCCCAGGGCATGTCCTGTTCCCCACCACCACCACCACCCCACGAGTCAGTGTCAAACCTGAGGTGCAGGGCAGAGCCCAGCTTGGATTGCCCCTGCAGTTTCAATGGGATAACAGATTCTCCTTCACTTCCTATTCTAAACTGATCCTGTGCGACGTCGCTACACGATGCGCCCCAGAGGTGGCTGCATTTCAGCGGGGGGGAGTGAGAGTGTGCCCCCATCTGTACCAACGAATGCTGCATAGACCCAGCTCACTGCAGTGACAAGGAGGGGAAAGAACCTGCTTCTTATTCCAAAGGGGGTTTATTGAGGCAGATTTCTTCACATACGATTCAGTCTTGTGATTAAACAGGACAAAAAAAAAAAAAAAAAAAAAACCAAAAGAGGTCAAATAAATATACAATAAAAAGTTAAACGGCATTAAAAAGGCGAGTGCTCTCAGTTTGGATAAATACAGCACACCGATACATACAGTATATTGGGGACGTAGGCCGAGGTTTTCAAGAGCGGCTAGCGATTTGATTCTTGGGCAGCTCCCCTGCCTCGACATGGCCTACGGGGCCTGATTGCCAGAGGGCAGCTGGCTCAGCAACACCCCCCTTTAGAGCTGGCACCCCACAATCGCTAGTCGGTTTGAAAATGCCAGCGGTAGAGACTATCACACAGTGATAACATGGTTTGTGGTCACTTTAGCTTCAGCCCTTTAGGTGTTTCTGGGTTCGGTTTCAATCGGATTTCATTTGTACAGAATATACAAGGAGTTTTTCTTTGTTACAGGCGAGAAGATGAAATGAAGAGATGGCAGGGGATACCGACCAGGGGGCAGTGATCTGCACCCCTCTGGCCATGGTGGAATCAGCCCCCACCACAGTGGAGAGGTTTGAGAGAACCCTGCGATCAAAGCTAACATTTCCCTTTTAGTCCCCCCCTCGTCGGTGTGGTTCCTGGTGTTGTAGCTGCTTCATGCAGAATCCCATGACATGGCACAGGCTCCAGGGGGCACCCCACGGCGCGATGGGTTAGTGTCCAAGCCAAAGCGGGGACTTCGCCCCTGCTGAGATGTGAGAGATGGTTTCTGATGTGGCAAGGGTAACACTCAGCCGCTCAACGGCACCATGCACTTTGCAAACAGGGGGCAGGGAGGAAGAATTACTGTCCCCCTTGAGGACAGGGAAAGGGAGATGCCGGGAGGGGAAGTGACTTCCCCAAGGAGTGGGAACAGAACCCCGGAGTCCTGACTCCCAGCAGGCCCTCTGCCCTAACCATTAGACCCAACTGCCTCTCAAGCAGGGTTGCAGTCTAGGTGACAGTTAGCCAAGCTGGGGGTGGGTCATGTGCCCACGGACAGAGCATAGGTTGCTGTCGGGGGAGGGGGTGGCAGCAGGAAGGGAAGGCATTGGAGCCCCGGGTATGTGGACTTTATTGCTGGGGTGATGGCGAGGGCGACCCTACTGCAAACTGGCTCTGAACGCCATGGGATTTATCAGGTTCTGTGCATGGCTGTGTCCAACCCTTGCCAGGGGAACGCCCAGCCTGCTAGCACTGGCTTGCTCTGGGGGGAGGGAGGGGTGTTTGACCAGTGCAGCCATCCCAGGTAACACCGCTCACGTCCAGTCCTGGCAAGGGTGGCCTTGCCCCCTGGGAACAGCATGGGGGTTTAGTGTTCTGGGGGGAGCACTCCAGGTGCCAGACTCTGCCCGGACTGCGCTGGGGATGGGCTGAGAACCAGGCTGCAGTCGGAGGGCAGGAGAACCGTTCGTGGATGAATGGAGCTCCCGTCACAGGGCAGGCACGCACCCCTGTGCTAAGGGAGCAGTAGTGTCACACAGGAGCTGCCTGCTCGGAGGCCCCCACCCCTCACAGGAAGGGATTATTGCTACAATAAGGTAGGAAGCCAAGGAGGCCGAGGGCTGTCCCCCCAGGACCTGATGGGGCCAGGATCGAGGGCAGCGCCAAGCAGGCCAGGGGCAGGAGGAGATCTGACACGGGAGGCTGGCTGGCCTGCAAACTGGGGGGCTAATGGGGCAGCGTGGGCTGCACAGCTGGGATGAGGGCAACAGCAGCCCTGGAGACCAAACACTTCGCATCAGGCCCAGCGGCGCTGCCCCGAGCAGGGGTGAGAGGGGAGGGCAGCACCCATCGGCCCCTCCACTGTCAACGCTGTAACCCCTGGGTCTGAGTCCCGTCCCCCTGTCCCAGTCACTCGTCCGGGCGGGCAGCAGCCTGGGAACTGCCTTGCTACCCCCACCCTGCTCCCCACAGGAAGTAACCTTCCTGGCTTGACCCAACGCAATGGGGCCTCTTATTCCAGGTCAATCTGAGCAACCTCCCAGCTGGCCCCCTCTTCTACTCAGTGCACCTCCCTCCCTGGCTCTCCGGCCCCCCTCGTGATCACTAAGCCTGCCCCCAAGTCCCTCCTGCTGACGGGCCTGGCATCAGCCGGCAGGGGCAGCTCGGCTGAAACTCGGGGGCTCTGCAAGGGGCCGGCAGGGGACAGCTCAGGGAGGAAAGGAAGAGGCCAGGAGACAGTTCTGGAGGGTTTATGAACCCTAAAGGTCCAGGGGTTACTTTGTGGCCTGGCAGAGCCTTGCCCAGGGGAGTTAGGGGCAGCGAGGGCTGCCCTGATGCTGGGAAGGGGACAAGTGCCCAACGTCATGGAACAGCTGGGCCCTGCCCCTCCCTGCCATTAGCCGTGCCTGGCCCTGAACACTTTCCGCTCACTGGCTGGGAAATAAAACCAGGCGACCTTGAAACAAGCAGAAAACATTCCAGAATCTGGCTGCTGGGCCCTGAGGGCACGGGAAGGGGCGGTCACGGGGTTGCCATCCTCCCCTGCCCACCCTCCCCAGCCACACACGTCTGCGTCACTCCACTGGGTGAGAAGAGCCGCCCCTTGTCAGCAGGTCCTGAGCTGTGGGGAGGTGGGGGGGAAACGCTCATCGCCAGACGGGATTAGCACCTCTGGAGAGTCCCGGGGACCTACCTGTTGGGAGACACAAGAGGAGCAAGCCGGTGGCAGGTGAGGGGCGCGGGGGGCCTCTGGCCTCCTGCTCCGGCGCCACCCTATCCCGTAGCCCCAGCTCACCTGCAGGATCCTCCGCCGCTCATACAAAGACCTTGGCCAGGGCGTCGGCCCCGGCACTGGCAATCAGGGCCTTGCTAGGGTGGAAGGCCACAGCATGGATGGCCTCCTCATGTTTCTTGCGGTGGGCCGTGATCTCCTGCACGCACGTCTTGTTGTCCAGGTTCCAGAGGCGCAGGGAGCAGTCGTGGCCTGGGAGAGCCAGCAGAGAAGGGTCACCCGGGGTCGAGGGGAGAAGACACTCGTCCACGGAGTTGGGAACAGAACCCAGGAGTCCTGGCTCCCAGCCCCTATGCTCTAACCGCTAGACCCCACTTCCCTCCCAGAGCTGGGGATAGAACCCAGGAGTCCTGGTTCTCATTTCCCTGCTCTTCTCTCAAAGCCCAGCCAGCAAAGACCAGACCTCCCGCTCCCGACACTCTGGGTCGCTCGTTTACTGCACTTAGTGCTGGATTCTGAATCCACTTCCCACTGAACACGCCCAGCATGGGCAGTGCCAGGCCAAGGGCGCCTGCATTGCTCCCTGCACTGGAGGGACACCTCCCGCTAGGGGTGGGAGAGGAGAGCCCAGCCCCCATGACCCATTCGGTCCTCGGCCCCTCTGACGCAGCCAAGAGGGCAGGTCTATTCATGCCAGCGGAGATGGCGGGTGCCCCGCTTGGAAGAGGCTGAGATCCAGCAAACTTATTTCACACCGGGGCCACACGGGCGGGAAAGATTTTTGGTCCCCATTGGATTTGAACCCCCCGGATCACTGCCCATCCCCCCCACCCCCGCAGATGACTCTCAAAGCGGAAAGCAGGCAAGATGCATGCAGCTGGGGAGCAGGGTGGGGCAGAGAGACACTTACTTCCAGACATGAGGAAGACCCCATTGGGGTCCACGGCGAGGCAGGTGACAGCGTCCAAGTGAGCGACCATGGAGTGGATGGCTTTCCCTAGGCAAGGAAAGGAGAAAGGTTTAATAGGGCAGCTCCCTCTCATGCCTGGGGCCTGCTCCAACCATTAGGTGTTCTCCCCACAGCCCACGGAGTGGGGTAGCTTACAGCACTGGATTCCCAACATGGGCATGGAAAAGGCGGCTCCCTCTACTGGGGTGGGGGGTGGGGAGGTCTTGGAGCAGCACACTTGGGGAGGGCACAGAGGGGTCCCCGGGCTGGCGAGAGTGGATTGGACCCTCCTGGGGAAGGGGGAGACACTGACATCCCCAGCGGGTGAGCGAGACAGGGCTGGGAGCCATCAGATCTGTAGACACAGTCTGTTCAAGGCAGGCGAGGGGAGCTCGAGGGCAGACTGGTCCTTGGGAGGGACACAGGCATGTATTAGCTGGGGACGAAGCCTGGCCTCGAGAGGGGGCCGATCTCATCACATCATGGGTGAGTCTCCCTGCGAAGGGCGCATGGGGAGGCTCGCACATGTGCCCTGGGTAGACAGCAGGCCGCACGGCAGGGGCTGGGCCCTGCATGCACGGATTTCAATGGAAAAGGGCCCCATAACCGCCACCTGCCTCTCTTCCCACCCCCAGCAGACGGGGGACACCCAAGGCAGGACCCCGAAGCACAGTGATGTCAGACCCTCCCTCAAGAGCCTCAAGGCTGTGGGGAGATGGCCCCATGAGGTGGAGCTCTGGGAAACAGCAAGGCCCTTCTCCGCCCCCGGAGTTTGGGCTGGCTGCCTTCCTGCCAGGGGGTGGGGCTGAGGAGGGGGCAGCAGGCTCGTCCCAGCTGCCACCAGATGGCTGCCCTACCTGTCCGGTTGTCCAAGAAGCGGATTCCTCGGTCGTCGTGCGCCGTGATGGTGACGGGCTGCGTCGGGTGGCTCACCACGTGATTGATTTGACTGAATCCTGGGTCAGAACATGGGAGAGGGAGCAGATTACCACCGAACCATGCATGCTCCCTCTCCCCCGCCCCACCAGAGCAGCTGCCAGCCTAGGACTAAACAATCATCTCCCTCTTCCCAGAGCGGCTAAACTGGCCTGACTCCTCCTGTGCGGATCCCTTTACCACCCCCTGCTGGAGAAGCACCATCCAGTCAAGGCTCTCAAAGCACAAATTGAAGTGCTGGTCCTCATCGCTGCCTGGGAAATGGACACTTCACGGCGGGGAGGGAGGGAATCGGGGAGAGGCAGTGACTTGCCTACCATCACACAGCAAATCAGTAAGAGCTGTGAAGAACCCAGGAGTCCTGACTCCCAACCTCCCCCCATCCCTGTGCTCTAACCACTAGACCCCACTCCCCTCCCACAGCTGGGACTAGAACGCAGGAGTCGCCCCGGCTCACCAGTGGCAGCTCTGGATTCCAGCGTCAGGATGGGCTGGGAGGTCTCCAGGTCGTACAGCACCGTGTTGCCTGTTCGGAAGGCGGCCACAACATGGGCAGGGTCCGTGCTGGCGAACACGACAGAGGTAGGGATTCCGTACTCTGCGGGAGGGGCGGGGACACAGGAAGAACAATGAAGGCCGCCTTACGGGACCAACGCTTCAGCGCCAAGACCACACCTGCTGCAGCGCCTGACAGAGCAAAGCATTACAACCGCACTAACACACAGGTTTCAACCCATCCACTCCCAAAATGCAGCCATCTCTGAGTTGGAGCATGTCACGTGCACACAGCAACAGCACAGTAGTTTACGACAGGAAGTGAAGAAGTGCCCTGTATCCAATTGAAACTAGAGGTCTGTTACATAGGCGGAACAGCAGTCCCCGAGTTGGGATTTGACCAGGGCATCAGGCAGCATTGTGTCTTTTTGGGAAGTTACCAAGGGATCTTCAATGCCCACAAGAGAGAAGGGCCCTCGTTTTAGATGACACCTATCTAAGGTACATATGTGCCCCCCCACATCTCTGTCGTATATGAGCGCCTCACGATCTTTAATGGATTTATCCTCCCAATGCCCATGAGACAGGGCAGGCCTATAATCCCCATTACCAGATGGGGAAACCAAGGAACAGAGAGACTAAGTGACTTGCCCAAGATCACACAGGCAGTCTGTGGCAGAGCACGGACTTGAAGCTAGGTCTTCTAAGTCCTAGGCTAGTGCCCCAACCAATGGGCCATCCTTCCACCTACTGTAGCACAGCATTCCCTAGCACTGTGCTAGGGCACTGGGGTCAAGACTGACCCAAGAAGAGGGAGCTCCCCATCCCGTTTGTAACCCCCGCCCCAAAGCCTTAATCTGGTGGGGAACATCCCCTCAAAGAGGCCCCCATTTCCCAGCAAGGCTCTGCTATCCCGGGGTAGGGTTCGCTCACCACGCTCCGTGTTGTAGGTGCTGAGGCAGGATGGGTTCTCGCTAGGGTCCCATATTCTGACCGTGCCATCTGCTGAACACGAAGCCAGGCGGTTCTTGGAAGGGCTGAATGCCAGGCCCCAGATCGCATCCGTGTGGCCTTCCAGGACGTTGCTGAGGACTCCTGGATCTGGGCCAGAAACAAAGCCGGGGTCAAGGAGGAGTCACGCTGGATCCTGGATCCCAGCTGGGGAGCCTCACCCTAGTTTGCCCCAGGGCCCTCCTCTAGCTGAGAGTTCCCAGCATACAGTGCTCCACCTCCACTGGAGTGGGCAGGCTGCAGTGCATGCTGGGAGCTGTAGTCTCCACAGATAAAATAGAGAGCCACTGCACCCTGTTGAGTTTTCCACACATCAGGTACAGCCCGTCAGCACATGAAGAGGTTCCACCACAGGCCACTCCCCAGCACTGCCGCCTGGAAAACTCCCAGCAACCCCAAGGAGACAAGACCACCCTGAAAATCACCAAAAATCTCCCATTTGGCCCTCATTCTGCCCTCCTCCCAGCTGTCAGGAGACAGGTTGGATACTCTGGGGTCTGATCAGTGCATAGGGACTGCCAGGGGAGAGGACGGACAGACAGATGCCCGCACCCACCGTAACTGTCGTATGGATCCATGCTCAAATCTGGGACCCTCCAGAAGCGGATCTTGGTGTCCGTTCCGCCACTGTAGCAATATTCACTGTTACAGCCCATGGCAACGGAGAGCACTGGACCCCTGCAGAAACAGGATGGCCACAGAGATGAAGGGGAGGGTGAAGGAAATGGGGCAAAGAAAGAATGGGGGAGGGGGAATTCCAAAACTGTAGGATGGGGCTTCCCCTCTCTGCCTCGCACTCACAGAGACTCTCCCAAGGAGTTGGCGTGGATGCAAACCACACAGGATGAGCCAACCACAGCCACCCACTAGGGGAAAGGAGCTCCCAGCTGTGTGGAGCCCGTCTGAGCACTGGGCTTCAGGAAGGTGTTTGTGGAGTCAGAGCACCCTCTAGTGGCAAAGTCTCTAGTATGACGCTGCTCGGTTGGCACTTCAGACAGCACCGGCCTGGACTGAGCCGCTCATCCCTCGTGGACTGACGGAGTCGTTTAATGAACTTGCAGGACACAGGAGCTGCACTCGTGGGTAGGCTGGGGGTTCAGGATTAGCCCTGACCCTCTCGCCCCAATCTCCTATGGGTTTAACCCTCACCCCTTCATTAAATCACCAGGGTTCCACCGTCTGATCCCAAAGGCTGCACTGGGGCCAAGGATCCAGACTCTAGGGCAGGGGTCGGCAACCTTTCAGAAGTGGTGTGCCGAGCCTTCATTTATTCATTCTGATTTAAGGTTTCGCATGCCGGTCATACATTTTAACGTTTTTAGAAGGTCTCTTTCTAGAAGTCTATAATATATTAACTAAACCATTGTTGAATGTAAAGTAAATAAGGTTTTTAAAATATTTAAGAAGCTTCATTTAAAATAAATTAAAATGCAGAGCCCCCGGACCGGTGGCCAGGACCCAGGCAGTGTGAGAGCACTGGAAAATCACCT